AAAGCGCCTCATGTTAGTTTCGAACATCTTCGAGAGCCAATCAACGTTTAACTCTAACCGGAAGTTCAATGTAGCAAGATTTTGAATGCTTAGGGATTATGATTTGTCGCAAATGCTTCGTCTGATGTCCTGTCAGAAAGAGAAAAAAACTTGCTAAGTGAACATGAACATCGTCACATTATCTTTCCAAAATTTCGAAACTATTAGTTTTCGAACATTGTCTTTAATAAGAAAAAGGGCTCGATTTTCTTATGTTACCATGTGTCGTATGGCCATTTCCAACGACTTGTTAGAAAGCGACCTTCCGAAACCCGAATTATTCTCCAATCCCGACTTTTTCCTATCTCGAATAACACGCTCGTCGTGCTTAGGTGGCGCCAGCTTCCTGCAGTTCACGACCCGATCCACCATCTTTGTCCCCATTAAAACCGGGTTCACATCATTATTAATTCTCTCCCGAGCCCTATGACGGGCCGTGATGGCAATTCCGGCCCGCATTTTCGGAGGCGAGCACAATTTTTGTTGTCGTTCGGGTTTCTCGTTGGGCCTGGCCACCACCCTCTCTCTGGATGCAGAAGCTGGCCTTGCGGGCCCCACGGCTTTGAGGATCGTGGGCCGTGGGCCGGGCCTCGAGGTGTTATTAGGAGTGGAAGGGCGTGAAGCGGGCCTCGGTTTTGATGGAAGAGTTGATCGTGTGGTGGGTTTGTGGGGCCCGGATGAAGATGAGGGTCTTTTGTTAGGCAATGCGGATGGGTTTTGGTTCGGTGGACTGTCGCTCGGGGAATCGGATGAGTTGTCTACCTGTGGAAGAAAAGCAAGTATTCATTTTAGACAAAAGAGAAAAAAAACATATAATTACTTGAATCGAAACTTCAAAGTGCTACTTGCCTCGGATTTCACTGAAATGGCTTCATTCTCGGGAGTTTTAGAGCTGTTCGTTGTGCAATCGTCCAGGTTTACCTCTACTGAATGAAGTGGAGAGGAACTAAATTGCCTGAAAATGATGAATACAAACATTTTCAGACTAAAATGCTGAGTTCTAAGACAATCGAGGCCATTGTGAGAAAGCAAATAAGACGAGAGTACACTGATTTTTGTGATAATCTAGCAAATTTGTACTAATGGATCACTAATTTGCAACAAATATGAACTCTTTACCAAATGCCATCACTCTTTTCGGCCCCGAAATTGACGAAATTATCCTCGGTGGCGATCGGGACAATATTTTCTCGAGTAGAATTCAATGGCAAGGAGCAATCAGGTTTTAGCTGCAAATCTGCAAGATTAGTCCATCCTTGAATATATAAATATACAAATGCACTAAGAGATATGCTGAGATAAATCAGAAATCAAACATTAAACAAATTGTACTTAATCACACACACATTACACATACACACAAGTGAAGAAGAATCACCTTTTGATTCATCAAACTCATCAGATTCAACAGGGGCAGTATGGTCATTTCTCTCCTTTTCGGCATTTCGGATTCCCAAGAAAATGGCAAGATCTTCATCTACCTCTCTCATTATCATCCCAAGATCTCTGTTTTGGGGCCTAAACTGCACAGAGGCCTGCATTTTTTCCCAAAAAAAAAAAAATTAATAAATAAATTAAAGTAAAATAAAAGAATGCATCACAAGCACATCCTAATCATACTCATTATTCAAACTTCATTTCAAAAGTGGACAAATTCATTCTACAGAAAATGTGGAATCTCCCTGAAAGAACTAATGAGCATGTTTACAAAGGAACAAATGCCAGATTAACTTACAAGACTTATCAAGAACCCCATTTTTTTTTTCCAATCACATGCAAAATTTTATTCTCTGCAAAAATGAAGAATCTGGTTCCTCTGGATCCAAATTAAAGATAAAGTAGAACTGACAAAAGAAGCTGGCACCAAGAAGGCAAGCTAAAATCTCTAAGCAAAAAGGAAAGAGGGAATAAAATAAAGAAAAAAAAAAAGAATTTTGCTATTTTTTTGTCAAAAAATAAAGTTGAGATTTAAATACACCGACACAAAATGGGAATAGGAAAAAAGATACCATCTTTAGAAAGCTCACAGACAAACACCATTGTAATTGGGAGTAAGTTCAATAACAAACATAGTCATGTACAAACATGGGCCAAGTTAAAAAGTAGAAAGATATGAACTTTGAGCCACTTACTGCCATTTTAGCTGAAAAGGCAACAATGTTGATGAATTCACAGAGATGGAGAGAGTACAAGAAGATTGTTACTCAAGTAGCAGTTTAATATAGCTAAAAAGCTTTTTTTTTTTTTAGTTTTGTATTGTTAATGACAGAAAATTGGGACGCGAGAAATTGGGGGAGCCAAGAACGCGAAGTTCATGAAAGAAAAGAGTGTCTTTTTGTTTGATTTCTTTGACAAAGGACACTCGGTCATGCTTGTTTATGAAATAATTCATTTCATACTCAAAATTTAACTCAAGTTTAACTCAATCTCATTATCATTTATATTATTTATATAATTAAATATTATAAACCAATCATTCTTACATATCACATCAACTTTAATTCACTATTCATCCACTCACATAATTTTAACTACCAATCATTTCCAATCATTTATATTCTACTTTTACATCAAATCATTAATAATCATTTTATTTTAAATATTATTAAAATCCCAACAACAATTAACCATATTACCTTTTTCAAAATTAACTCTAGTTAACTAAAATAACTCATTCGAATGAAATATTTCATAAACAAGCACGCCCTTTTTTTTAGCCTTTTTTTTAGGGAAAAACAACAGCTCAAATGAGCAATGAGCATTTGAATTCAGTATGATCTGTCATCGATTTTTGTACTGTAGTCAGTGGTAGATTAAAAATTAAAATGTACTACCATTTATGATAATAAATTCGACCTTACCACTCTACTTTTTACCATCGGATCACATATATGTTCAGATATTGGGTTTTTTAGTTTTTACTCACACAATCCCCCCCCCAAAAAAAAAATGGTTGAATTTCCCTTTTTGGGTTTTATTTACAGCATTTAGATTTGTGCTTTGATTAGTAGTGATGGATTTTTTTTAGGCAGACTTGAATAGAAATGGAAGTGGGATGAAAAAATAATCATGTCACTAGTATAAATATGAAACTGACGTATTGTTTTCTTTCTGGATTTGTTTGATTACTAGTCTAGAAACCCTTTTTTGTTATTGTTGTTTATCAAATCGACATATTTGAATTTGAATCATGACATTGCATTTATTGGTTATAGTAATAAAGGGGTAGCCTCAACTATTGAGTTCTTCTCATGATTGATTATGGGGATGAACATCCTTCGTCGGTAACATTTTGAGCAAAATTAAATTTCATTTCAGAGCACAATATTAAAAACGGACAGAGCATGTAAAAATAACTCATTTAATATTTTTGTCTCGTGCATCGCACGGAGTGCGTACTAATTAAAAAACAAAAGGGTAAAGCATTTATAATAGATAAAAGTTAACATGGGCTGTCGGGCTCCTGGAGGCTTAGGGATAAATTCTCATCTTAGGGCCATATAACATGGGCTAATCTTTTGGGCTCATATTGTTGGTCTCAAGAGTTGTGTTGGAACCTGGGCCCATTTGTATTTTTAAGAAAAACTTAGAGCATGTTTGTTTATGGAATTTTTCAAAAAAAATTCACGTTTTAATTCAACCACTTTTTTTAACTCAACTTTAACTTAACCCCACTATCATCAAAATTATCAATATAATTAAATAATATCAATAAATCATTCATACACACCACATCAACCTTAATTCACTATTCATCTACTCACATTATTTTAACTAACCATCACTTCAAATCTCTCTCTCCTATTTTTACATCAAATCAATTTTAATTATGTTATTATAAATATTATTTTAATATACCCACTAACAACTAACCATACTACTTTTTTCAAAATTAACCAAACCAAACCAAAAAACCAAAAATTTTTATAAACAATTCTGATTAGTGATTACCTACAAATTTTTATTTATTTATACATTTACGAGATATTTTTAATTAAAAATAATACTAATTCTGATTTTTTTTTAATTTATTTCTGTCATTAATTAATAAGTCTCATTGTTTATTAGGACCGACCTAACAACTTTTTGTTTCACTCAAATTATACTCAAATAAACAGGAAACTTGTTTGTTCCATTTGAGTAGAGTTAAGAATGCAGCAAACATTGTTTCATCCATAGCAACAAGATCAAAAGTTCCCAAGCATGTTAATTTCATTTCTAAAAACCATAAACTAGAAAAAAGNACGTTCAAGCAGGATGTCTGTTTAACATGGACCTCTGCTAATAGTAAAATATATAAATTTAGCAAGGCAAGTTTGAAGAGTGAAGGATGTACATTTCAAAATAGTCTTGCTCGTACGAACTCAAGAAATTAACCCATGTCAGCATCACTATCACTTCCAGTCATTTGGCTCTCTGGACTCATTGAATAGCTGCTTCCATCTGGACCCAACACTTGAAACCTACTTAACCACAATGGAAGAAAGAAAATGGAAAAAAAATGTCCATATGTTGATATGAAATGTGTTGCATAACAGAGACAAAAATTTGTTTACCTCTCTAAGATAAACTTTCCAACTTTGTATTTTTGGGTCTTGTCATAGGCAGCTACCTGAGACAGTGAACAAAACATTGGATATTTACAATCGATTCCTAAGTTTCGAACTAAATAATGTTAATATGCCCCTCAACAAGTTAAACATTCAAGCAAATTAAATGTGCATTTCTGATACTGTATATAATTGGAGTTTTTTGTAATTAGACTGACTAAGCCTCGGTCCACAGGAACAAAATGTTCAATTATCTAAAGAGTAAAATAGTGCAAGCAGTCAAGGGTCTCACATATTTCCACCCCACAATCGAGCCACATCTCACACAGAATATGTCGACCACAGTGTGCAGTCCAGTCATCATCATCCTCTCTTCTTTAGCCCCAGCAGTAACATTCACACTATCATCAATTAGCAAGTTATCAGGTTAATATTATATCAAGAGGCACTATTTCATGGAATAGGAGCCCACAATAATGTAAACCTTTAAGGCTAATCAGTTATATGCTCTCGAGAATTGGAGGATTATTGTCGGCAGTAATCAAAATTACTTCATTTCCTTAACTAAAAGCAATTGATAAAAAGTAAAAACAGAAATACCAGTAAATTATGAAGAAAGACAAAGATGTTAAGACGTAAGCAAACATGTTACGTGTTAATCACAATTATAGTTGGGTGCCTTGAGATGATGGAGAAAATAAACGAATAACTATGATAAGAGAACTTACACTTTATCAAATAGATAAGCCTTCCCATGCCTGGATTGGAAGGACTGGAAAAAGGTAAAGTAATTGGGTCAAAATCCATGCTAGCAGAAACATGCATGTACAAGTGAAAGTAGCACAAATGCACAATAGTTTGTGGTATTGAGGGGAATATATGTTAGATATCATTAAGAATTGAATTGTCAAAAGAGGGATATAAAACAACTCGAATTACCAGTGGCTGACTATGTAATTGAAATGTGAAGTGAACGGGTTTACAAGAGAAGGAAACACAAACTTAACAATGCTCTAAGTCTATCAAACTATGATTCTGCCTTAAGAGCAATACTCGAGTACAGAGAAATTAGGGTAATGAAATTGGACTAGGCCTTGATAAATGAATGAAGCCACCCAATACAAACATTTCTCATAAAGAAGAACCATAAATTAAGCATTTTCATTGTATGCAAAATTTAAATTTGCAGTTCCTTATTGTCTGCCACAGAGTATCAGAAAGCTAACAGAGAATATACTAATGGTTCTGCACATTACAAATAACTTAAATTCCGAAAAAAGTTTCAAATCGTGCTTCTTCTGCTGCCCATATAGATTATAAAGCCGCCAAGAAACAAACCGTTATCAAAATGACAGCCGTAAACCTTTCCAATCACTCAAAGTTTACTAGTTTCCCCAATTCCACCAAATAAAAAACAAGGCCATCAATCAAATTACAATCACTAAAACCAGAACTTCCACATACAATCAAATTTTCAAATATCAGAGGACACACCAAACAATTTCTATCATCATCAGCACACGAAAAACTCGAAAAACAAAAACAAAATAAAATCTGAAACCTTCGAAACAATGTCATCGACCAGAGCAAGATGCGACCGGCAGTACTTGCAACAATACTTGTTGTTCCCTTCCAAATGAATCAGAAATAGCCTCCCCATCACACTTCACAGAATTTGTCGATCGTCGTGTTTGATAAATCGAGATTCGAACACCTCAAATCTTTTCACACAAAATGTAGAACAGGATGCAAACGTAAATATCCACAATAACCGAAACAAAATTTGCTATTAATAGTAACATAAGCTGAAAAAAAAAACAGGAAAAAAATGTCAAAAAATCAAAAAACGACGGAAATGCAGAACGGAAATACAATACAGTGATATCAGATCATCAAACGATATACATTCAAAATTACATATGATGATAACGGATTATTATGACGATGAAATCTCACCTTTAGCGGCAGAAGGTTAGGGCCTTGAAAGAGAGTCGAAAAGCTGCAAAGCATCAAACACCAAATGAGACGTGTGTGTGTCATCTCCTCTATTTATACGAGAGAGAAAATGGTAGTGGAGTTGATATATTTAAACATTTCATTTTCTATTTTATTTGTGAGTGAGAAAAAACAAAATTAGAAATTAGTGAGGTAAATTTGAGAGTGTGGATGGATAAAAATTTAAAAAAAAATTGATGTGATATAAAAATAGTAAATATTAATTAATAAGATTGATATTTAAAAATATGTGAGTGGATTAATGATTTTTTTGAATAATATACAACAATAGTTATTTTTTAGTTTTAAATTGTGTGAGTNATGAATAACATTTATTGTGCTTTTTATTTTTGAGATAAATCTTTAGAGCAAAAAAAAAAAAGATTTTGTTTTTATATCCAATAACAGCCGTTAAACAAAATTGAACTTGAGGTCCTCAGGATATATTGCAGGTAAGATTAGATAAATAGTAGGACTTATGTGTATCTCGATAAGCTAGAATCCCGTATGAGCTTTTTGCATATTCATTTGAATTTTGAATATTATTTCATCAACTATATTTAACAAATAAAATCAAACTAATCATCCTCTCAAGTCTCAAATTACATACTACTCTCGAGAACATAATTTTGTCAAACATTAAACTACTTGTTCAACAAATTTGCATAATTTTTAATCAAAATTTTCCCATACTTAGATTAATATATCATACTTCAAAAAACAATATAAACAAAAGTATAACATTTCATAACATAAGAATGTATTTTTTTTTTAAAAAGTATGACATTGTGCTTTGTAAATAACTAATGCACGTGTTTGACAATATATATAACTTTCTCAATTTATGGCTATAAATGGAAATAATATATGAAATAACACATCCATCTCAGAAAAAAAAACCCCCATAAACCTCCATAAACCTCACTTTTACACTTCCCAATATGTCACATCATCAAAAACCTCATTCTTACTCCTACATCCATAAACCTCCAATAACAATAAACCCCATATACCTATTCATGAGTCCCACATGTTTCCCACTTACTTTTAATTAATATTATACTCATATATTTTTATTTATATTTTAAAACTATAACTCTTACTTTATTTATTAAATATAAATATTTTATATATTTATCAAAAATACATATAAAAAATATATATTACATATAATTATATTTTATTATTTATAATTATGTAGTGTTAGGTGCATACGAATGTAAAATTTTATTTATAAAAATTACGAAACATAAAACTTACATAATGTTGAAAATTAAATTTTGAGTACAATTTTTATTTCTAAATATTAATTTTGGGAAGTAGGTTCATTCCAAATATGTTCAACCAAGTCGTGTCAAAAATAGCTCGTTTTAAATTGTTATTTTTCGACAACAACCACAACTCGTTCTTATTTCAATTAATTGCTTTACATATTTTTTTCGGGCTGTCGAGTAACTCCATTTATTTTAAATCAAATAACCTCAATTTTGATTCAATCAGTACATAGATGTATATGTATCTTCTTTACAAAATTCAATTTATTACAATTATTTTTAAAATGTGAATATATGTTCTAAACCATATATGGTCTAGTGTGTAAATTTGCACTAATTCATATATTTTCAAAAGTAACAGTTTTGATTCAATCGGTACATAGATGTATATGTATCTTCTTCACTTTTGAAATGAAGATATGCTCTAAACCATATATGGTCTAGTGTGTAAATTTGCACTAATTCATATATTTTCAAAAGTAACAGTTTTGATTCAAATTTTGTTAGTGTTTGTTCTTGATCTAAAATAGCTCGTTTTAAATTATTATTTTTCTAAATATTAAAGAAAATCATATAAATAAAATTTGGGATATCAAATTTTAACAAAAATAGTTAAATTTTACAAGCAAAAAATATTAGACAAAACGGGTTAAAGGAATTAATAAACAAATATATCTCTAATTCATTTAATTGCTTTTATTTTATGTTTTTGATTGTCAAGTATGAAAAAAAATAGTTGGGAGGAAATTTTATATCTATTGCAATTTTTTGTCACAATATTAGAATTTATTAAAAAAACAAAAAAACCNACTAGTTTTTTGTCACAATATTAGAATTTATTAAAAAAAATAAAAAAACCATATCAAAATACAGTGCCTAGAATAAATAAAATTGAAAAAGAAAAAATATATATATAACACAAAGCATCACGCCTTGCTTTGAATAAAAAAATAAAGAAAAATTAAAAAATAAGAAAATGGGCCCACAAATGAGGTTTACTTGAGGTTTTGATTTGTAAACCTGTAGTGAAAAGCTAAACCTTAAACCTCACACATTTAATAACAAAAACTGAGGAGAAGGTTTACAAACCTAGGGCAAACCTCCTTGTTAAAGATGCTCTCACAGCAACAATCATCAAGAATCTTAGTGTCAAAAATCAAAACTTTTTAACATTAAAAAAGAATATGACAAATAATATAAAATAAATCGAGAAAAAAAGAAAATGAAAATTTCAAGAAGGGAATTCACAATTGTGCCCAGCTGCAGCCTGCAGCATTTAGAACTTTTTCAGCCAACCATGAAAAAAAATAAAATCAATGTGTGTGTTCTTCTGAAGCATGAACTTGCAATTCAGGCAATATGCTGATTTTACTATTTACTCCACCGAACCTTTGAGGCGGCCATACGATGTGGGTGACTCGTCCGCATATCAGGCCCAAAGGGATCTGCCACGACAGCATTTGTGAGTCGAGAAAGGTAAAAAAAAATTAAAAAAATATTAATATAGAACAATGCAAAAACCGTAGATCTTATAGTATTAGCATTTTTTACTATTTCACCCACCAAGTGAAGAAGCATTATTCTCAAAGCCCATTTATAGTATCGCATTTTCAAGCCAATAAAAGATAATTAATTGCTCACAGAAGTTTGAAAAGGATAAAGGAAATGTTGCAGATGATTTGATACAATACCTTAGGTGTAAGAAGTGATGGAAATGACATTACACTTTAATGATTTAGAAATTAGTACTTTAGTTGTAATTGTGTGGGATCATCTCATTGGTAATATTTCTTGTGTTCATGCTTCAAAATAATTTAAGTCTATGTTTGGAAAACTAGCTGATAAGCTTCTAGCTTAAAAGTGATTTTCGAGCTTGTAGTTTATGACTTATAACTGAAAAGCTAGCCTATAAGAACAGTGTTTTGGTAAAATTAGCTGATAAACTAGGTGAAATAAAAATTTTAACAAACTTATTTGAAAAGTTACCCAAAGAAGCTTATGAGATAAGCTCGAGCTTGTTAAAAAAAAGTTCATCCTACCAAAACGAAGCTTATTTGAATACAGGAAACTTATAAGCTAACCAAATAGCTAGCTTCTACTATTTGGTATAAACTTATACCAAACATAGCCTAAGTTAGAGATGGCTCATCTACTATTTCTGGTAGACAAGAAAAGAAGCAACAATCAACTCGGGTGACAAATTTTTTATTTTTTTTTTTATAAAAACGATGAAGATAATACTACCATGCCTTAGTTTACTAAATTATATAATTATGCAATAAAAGGTTTCATTAAAATCAAATATAAGTCTAGTGAGCGTTACATATATAAATTTCATCATACCGGACCATGTGATCTCGAGTCCAAGCTAGAAGCTGCATTGTCTCCCACGACCCAACAATGCCCTTCCGGAACCCTAACAGTGTCTTGTGAGGAGAGATAGATCCAATCACCGGGTAAGGCAGCAATTCTCTTCACGTTTTTCTCCTTATAATTAATTGGGGATCTGTAAAATGATATTTACCTAAGCTTCATCAACAGAACTATGTAAAATTCCTTTCAGTGAGAACCATCCAAACAGGTATAGTTTAATCTCAGAAGCATATTTCAAATATGATACGGAAACATCTGCATATCAATCAAGAGTTGAACTTTCTGCCTTTCAAGTTGACGTGATAGACAATATGAATAATAATAATAATATCGAAGGCTTGTGCAGCACTAATTCTACCTATTGGACTCAAACAAACAGAGTAAATGACTGGAATAATATATGCTCGGTCGTCAACAATATAAAACATAAGAATTTTCAGTGATTTAGCATAAAGATATATCATTTATGCTGCAGGTATCAAGTTCAACAAAACTTGAGCTATATTGACTACTCGAGGAATTTTCGGAATAATCAACACCAAGCAAATGTGATACCTTTAGCTTCAAGGAGATTCAGTAACTCTATATTAACCAAACAATTAAGAAAAAAAAGCCCCAATATTCCTCTCACTCAGCCTAGCAAAACTAATCAGCACTTAACCTCCAAAACATACAAAGAAACTCTAAAGCAGAAACTAATGGCAGCTAAATTGCAAGTAAAACCAAAATGCAACTCAATAAAATAAACAAATAAGTAAATAGATGAGTTAGGCGAAAACCTCTGTTAAAATTTACACCGTGAGAGGCGAAAATTACCGAAAAACTACGACGTCGCCCCTGGAGAACTTGTACTTCTCAAGGCATAATTTCTCAACCAATACATAGTCATCTGCCACCCACCTCGAATAATCAACCACATTGAGTCAAGACTACAGAAAATTAAATTTAAAGAAAAATAAATAAGAGTGGCTTTTGGTAATATAGGAAATTTACCGAGCACGAATCCCGTCGAGTCTCCGGCATGGGGATTCAGAGTGGGAGACATTGATGAGCCGCGAACGGCCATGAAGCTTGCGTACCGATCGGAAATTGTGAGGCCAATCAGACCGGCGGTGAAATACCTTTTAGCTAGACTCCATAGGAAGCTTCGAGAGGACATATTCGGGATAACGGAAGAAGAAACTCTGGGATTTCGCTTAGGTATGAAAACGGTTCACCGGTAAAAGCAGCCGCCGTCGGAGGTGGGCCGGCGTTTGACGGTGGTGAAAAGTGAGCTTGCGTGTGAGGTTTTAGGTTGAAAATAAAATTTCGATAAAACACAACTGAAATCGTGTGAGGTTTTAGGTTGAAAATAAAATTTCGATAAAACACAACTGAAATCGTGCTTGTGTGGTAGGAAACGTGAAGAAAAATCTTTCCAAAAATATAAAAAATATACCAAAAATATTACGAAACTCTATAAATCCACACATAAATTTAAAATATTCTATATTTTTATGAGACTCCTAAATTGGTACGTAATTTGGAAAATTTTACATATATATATATAATAATTTATAACATAAACCTCAAAACAAATTTATAATATAAATTTCATATTTTTGTTTTTAGTTATGTCATTTTTAATATTAAAATTGTGCATATTTATATAAAAAATTAGTTATACCATTATTAGTATTAAATTGTGCATATTTATATGAAGAAATATAACTAGTGTAACACCCCGCTTATCAGAGTAAATTTTTCGCAACTTTTACTTCGAATATATTTTAACTCTTTTGAAATCTTTTGTGACTAACTCGGGATGCTACTCAAATTCATCATCTTGAAAATCCGTTTATCTTTAAACTTTTTGTCTAATACTTCTTTAGACATAATTAAAACAGATTTTCTTTAAACTTGCATTTAAAATACCATAATCATATTTCTCATAATGGTAAAAACTTGAAATCTGAAATTCATTAAAATGCAAGTTCAAGTCTCAATATGCGTAGCGGAAATACTTAAAAACGTAGTTAATTATACAGACTGTTTTAAATGTCCGTATCAAAGCTTGTCTTCATCTGAATCCACGATCCACACCAACACTGCTCCACTCACACCTCCTCTTCGACCTGTTACCTGAAACTAAAACTCATGGGGGTGAGTAACGAATATGGATAATCATAAACCGATATCTGATCGGTAACTTAAACTTTTCTCTTATCTTGCCGATAGTTAATCGGATACGTGTGCACACTCTGATGGATATTTCTAAGGCACCTAACGGCCTCCATCAGAACTTAGGATATAATCTCTGAGAACAAATTAATGCCTCCTCATCCCAAGCGTAATAAACTTAAACTTTAGGATATACTCTGAGACAACTGATGGTCTCCTCATCCCATATGACATCAATATCGTACTCAACGTGATACCCATTCAGGGTCCCCACCTTTTTGTCTTTGAAATCATTTGAAAAACGATAAGTGCTGTACTGGTACTGTATCTGCAAGTTACATCAAATATAGACAAATATACTAAGTACTATGCTCATATACTCAATAAGATTTTTAGGATTTTTAACTTATCCAAATCTTATAGAAATTCATTAAACTTGCTTTTTCTCAAGTTTATACTTAACTTCTCTTTTTATTTATACTTAAGGTCAATTACTTAACCTTGTATAAATCATGTCTTCATAAACATTAATATGGTATTATACTTAGCATGTCATAACTCAAATGTGAAAATAACTATATTTCACATTATACTTGATTTAAACTTAAAATATGCTTACTTTTACCAACATCATCAACATGATTTATAAACTTATCTTAACTTAATTTGATCTTTTACTCAATCAAATACTTAATTCATCATTCATCATATCTCCAAATTGGCTTATACTAAATTTTCACTTAATTAACTTGAAAGTGAAAATAATCTCAAGCCATATCATCTTTTACTCATAACATTTAATCATGATGTTAATATATCATACATAATACAATCTTTATAAAATTGTATACTCAACATATTACACCAAAACATCATCAAATTACTCATCACTTATATGAGAATTATTCATGATCATCTCATTTTAACAACTTAAACATTTCATGAATATTCTTGCATATATACTTATCTTTAGATATATGCCTTCTTATATTCATAACTTATTCATTTCTCATCTTTAAATTATGAAACTTAACAGTCATAATCTCAACTTATAATTAGACATGTCCTCAAAATTTCATAATTTTATCATGCATATTCATCAAGTTATGAGAATTTAAATTCAATAGTGAACATAAACTTCATCTTACATGTTCATCTTTAAAAATTCATAACTCAAGCTATATTTTGCCAAATCTCTTAATTCTTGTTTTCATGTACTCCTCTTTTACATAATAATCATTCATTTAAATCATACTCTTCCAGCTTATTCATATCTTTATCAACATCTCATCAAATCAAGTACATATATCATATAATTGATCTTGAACAACTTTAACTCTTTATATTCATAGAATCAATTATAAACTTAACTTCTATATCATGATATACATACTTATAAACATGTAAACTTATTATCAAAACATGAACTTAAGCATGTAACTTTAAGATAAGTAAATTACCTCCTTCTTGCTAGAATAAAAACTTGATTCTTTACTTCAAATTCTTCACTTCTCCAAAGTTTCTACTACTTATCTCTCTTACACTCTTATATAACTTTTGGTACTTAACTTTGGTGCATAAACTCTGATTTTTAGGCCTCTATTTATAGGCACAATTTGCAAGACATCATAATTGAGTGAAGAAATTAACAAAATAAACAATACAAACTTGTAAAAATAAATATAGATAATAAATAGTATTCTTAACTTGTAAACTTCTCCAACCCATAGTCAATGCTTAGAAAGGCCCCTCTTCTGATCCTAATCTGATCTCAATGATTAAATTCGAGATTTAGTGAAAATTCTCCAATTTACGGAACCAAATTCTGACTTAAAACGAACAGTTACCGTAAAATCGAAAATTCTTACAGTTTTCGAATTTCCTTCTTTTCTTTTGGTATTTTTCATTTTTATGCTGAAAAATTTTTCTTATCTTGTATTCTACTAAAAATATAGAGAGAAAATAATTTAATGTATTTCTCGGAACTGAAATCGGACATAAATTCCGACTACAATCGAAAAACGCAAATTCTAAAAATTTCATATTTCTCTCTAATAATTTAAATAGACTAAAATGTCTAAATAAATTTTCTCACTTCTTTGAACATTTATAACTTAATAACTGGGCTCGAAACTAGGAACGAGCATTATTAATAAAAGTAATTAGTTCAAACTTAGAACTAAAAATAATTACTTTTATTAATTACTGAATGGGATATTACAATCTACCCCCCTTAAAACTATTTCCGTCCTCGGAAATACTGAAACTTAGATATATACTCACTATGTATATATATATATCATAACTCGTAATCTGAAAAACGAGTGATAATATCAACTTCTCACTTTTCAGTGGCAATTAACTTTATATGTGGTGAACCCATTTCTACTAACGAGGATATATCTTACTTACTCAGCCAATGAACCTCATGGTCCAAACCTCATCTCAGCTGATCCTCGTAGTTAAATATTTAAAATCTTTGTGAAAAAGCACATACTTTGGATCGCACACTTAACTTCATATAAACTTTATGCACACTGAATAACTCTAGAGAATAATTGATATTAAATACTTCTCTGAATACTTATGCGATACATTGTATACGATTTACCCACAACCTGGGGCCCTTCAGGTGCGGAACATCTATATACATTGTACCTTAATATAGATGTCACTTGTAAACTTTAACAAGTCACATCTCCATTATATACTCATAATTTTATTATACTCAATTTGTTTCTCTTTCGAAAAACCTTATACTCAATATCACTATGGATATTGTCTAACTTTAACTTTATCCGACTTAACTATAGTCGAGAATTTCGTTGAAATTACTGATCTGATATGGAATAACTTGACCATTCTCTTGGTCATATCATAATTCCAACCTTACAGGTAAACTTATTTACCTTCATTACTGCAACTGCATTAATAATATCGCACTTTCTCATTTATGGCCGACAACTATCATCTGATTGCCGAAATCTCACATCTGATTGCAACAGCATTAAATGCATACTGACTGCCATACTATCTTCAACTTATCAACAATTTGCATTATTGTTGACATATCACATCCTCTCTTTGCTGCATTAATTGCCTTTTGGTTGCGTATTCTATCATTAGGTATATTTTAATCATACCTCGCAACTCCTCTCATACTCATATCTTCTTTATAACTGCTTCGGTAATCTTTCCATCTTCCTCAACGATGGTCCGATTTCACCAATGGATTTAGCACTTCCAAAAATTCGGAAATTCTATTCTCTTAATATCATAAAGAGAATTTATCGAGCTCGAGTAGAAAGATTAAGAATACTCATGCTCAATAATATCCCAAATTATATAAGATGGTTGATCGAAACAAAGGTCCGTGTCTCTGGCGAATATCCCAATGTATACAATTATCTGTCAGGTATGGGAAAAAAACACTTTTGCTAAGAAACGTAGAGCAAAAAGAATAGGCGGTTGCCATAAATGTGCTCGCTGGAACTGCGATACTCGCTGTACTTCCTTGGGCTTTGTCTCAAATAATCGAGAAGATAAAATAACCTTCATCAAGAATGGCTTAAGTAAGGAATCTCTGGATCAAACTCTTCAGCAGATTCTTGATACACATTCTAGTGGATATACGCATCGAGAACTGATGTCTTTATGGCTTCTGTTCAGACATGAAGAAAAACTTTATAGTCTGGAAAATATTATTTCCACTGATCATGTTTGTCAACACTGTTCCTGATGTCACTGTTGTACTGTACATATTTCGTATCCTTTCCAACAGATAAGAGTCATTTATGACTCAACTGCTTTCTTGTCGTAACATTTCTTCTTTAAAAGCAACTCTCTTTCCTTCTTTAAAAGGCAATTCTATATTTTAGCCAATTCTCTCTTCATAATAAATGGCTACTGCTGAATCTTCTCAAGGATCTAAACTTCTTCAACCTCTTAGAACTATGTGCATCCTTGGTGGTTCCAAATTTGTAAATGTTCCTCACAACATATATGTTGTAAGCCAACTCGTAAAAGAGTTAGGCAAACATAACATCAACATATTCTATGGAGGAACTAGTATTTACTTCTTTAACAACCTCTTAATGGCTGCTAAATGCTTTGACATCCAGGTGAGAAGTATCCTTCCTTTTTATC